ATACATTTTGGCCACTTATGTCATAACTACTCCAACCAGTAAATAGAGCTTTACTTCAAGCTGAACTAATGTAAAGCCTCGTGCTGAAGGTCTATTGCCTCAATTTCTTTCACTCAATACATCATATTTGACTTTCAACCAAAAATTACAACGCACACTAAAAATTAAGTCTGAAGAGACAAATCAAATATCAGTACCAGATTCAGAGATCTGAAATTGGTCAACCAGAAATATAAAATAGCTATGATAAATATAAGGATTCTAGTGGAAGTAATAGACAATATAAAAGATCTGCATAATATGAACAGAGAGATGGAAACTCTAAGGGAGATTTTAACAAGGAACCATGAGAAGTCAAAAACACTCTTAACAAAAGTAAGCAGTGCAATAGATTTGTTACTAGATTGGACATTGGGAATAAAGTATGAGTACATTAAAGATACACATAAAGAAACATCCCAAATTTAAAAAGTGAATAAAAGTAACACAATATCTAACACTTGCAGGAGAATAAGAAAAAGTTTCCATACATGTAACAGGACTATCAATAGGCAAAGGAAGGAAGAAAGAATAATAAAATATTTGAAGTAATAATGGCTGCGTTTTCCAACCTTTGCGATGGACACTAAAGCCCAGATTCAGAAAACTCAAAGAACACCAAGCAGAATACATATGGGAAAAAAACTACACCTAGTCATATAAAATGCAGAAAATAAAAGCAAGGAGATCAGCTGTAAAGAAACCAGAAAAAAATAATATTCCCTATGGAAGAAAAGGATAATAATTATATGAGATTTCTCTTCAGGAACTGTGTGAGAGAGGAGAGGATGGAGTGCAATACTTTTATTTGACTAGAATGTCTTGGGAATTTTTCTTTCAAAAATGAGTGAGGAATAAATTTTTTTAAAAAAACAAAAAGTGAGGAAATATGTCACCAGAAACTACCTTGCAGAAATGTTAATAGACATTATTTAAGAAGAAGAAAATAACATAGGCCAGAAACTTGTATCTATATAAAAAGGTAGAGCATTAGAGAAGTAATAAATGAAGGGAAAATAAAATCTTTTCTGTTTTTAATTTGTACACTAGGGAATGGTTTGTTCAAAATAATAATAACACTTTATTATGTGATTTACAAATAATCTTGCTAATATTTGGAGTTGAATTACATAAAATCTATAATTCTCTTTGGGAAAAGTTAACAATTTAATAATAATGTGTCTTCCAATTGACAAATAAGGTACAATTCTCTACCATTTTAGTCCTTTATTGAATTCTTTTTTCTGGGTTTTACAGTTTTCTAAGTGGAAACCTTGTGTACATTGTGTTAGATTTATACTTCAGGATTTTTGTGTTTTGGGGGACTTGTAAATATTACACTATCAAAATTCAACTTCTAACTGTTAAAGAATTTGTAAATGTGATTAGTTTCTGTATATTGGACTTGCATTCTGCAATCTTGCTAAATTCTCTTACCATACTTAATAACATAACTTTTCAATAAATTCTTTGGAATTGTCTGTGTGTAAATTTGCTATAAAAGGAATATCCGTAAATAGTTTTATTTCACATCTAGTAAGAAGTCTGTCTCTGTCTCTTTGTGTCTCGGTCTCTTTCTCCTGTCATATCTCCCTCCTTCCCTCCCACCTTTCCCTCCTTTTTCAGGAGTGGCAGTGCAGACATTCCAGGGTAATTCCCAGTCTTAGGGAGAAATAATTCTGTCTTTTGCTATTATGCGTCATGTTACCTATATATATTTTGTATATGCAGGAATTTCTCTTCCCAGTTTGTTGAAAGTTTCTGTCAAGAATGGGCATAAGATCTCTCAAGTGCTTTTGCTGCATCTATTGCAAAGACAACATGGTTTTTATTTTTCAGTTTGTTAATATGGTAAATTAGATTGATTCAATTGTGAATGTTGAACTAACCTTGAATTCCCAGGATCAAGCTCTCTTGCTCATAAAGTTTTATGATTTGTATGTCTTATCAGATTTAATTTCCTAAAATTTTGTTGGAAATTTTTGTATCTGTGTTTATAAATAATAATACCTTTATTTAGTTTTGGTATAAGTGTGGTGCTTGTGTCAAAGATTCAGTTGGGAAGTGTTCCCCTTACTTTCACTTTTCTGAAAGTGTTTGAGAGAATGATAGAATTTACCAGTGAAGTCATCTGGCCCTGAAATTTTCTTTGTGAGACAGTTTTCAAAAGCAAATTCAAACTGTTGAGAAGATATGGAAATATTCAGGGTATCTCTTTTTCAGGCACCTTTGGTAATTTATGACTTTTAAAGAATCGCTCCATTTCATCTAGGTTGGCAAACTATTATAAAATTATTCATAATAATGCACTTTTTACACGTGTAAAGTCTACGCATTTTAAGGAAGTCCTCTCTTTCATCCCTAGTGTTAGTAATTTGCATCTTCTCTTTTCAAAACTCCTTGTTAGTCTTGCTAAGGTTTCACTGACCCCACAAAAAAAAATACAGGTTTTGATCTCACTCATTTTATCTATTGATATTTTGATTTCACTGTCATTGATCTCTGTTTTTTACTATTCTTTCTTACTGGTTTGTTTTGTTTTGGGCCCTGCTTTTTCTAGCTCTTGTCTTTTTTTTTTTTTTTAAATAATTTTGCATTGTCTCACTAGTGTGGGAAACTGAGCAAGTAAATAAGATCCAAAATATACAATAGATATTGTAAATTGGGTAGAAAATGTTCAAAAGAATAGACAAACTGTGATGGGAGAATTGGAAAGGAAGAAAAGGAAAATGAAAAAAAAATATGTATACACAAGATAGTTAAGATGGTTATACAGCTAGTTTCTCTTAGTTCATTGAAAAGAAAGTTTTGTGCTAATATTGTCTGGAGAAGATATCACACCTATATGTTGTACTCTGAATAACTACTATGAAGACAACAATACACAGTGTATCAACTGTTGGTACTCACCTGCGAACCTCTTCAGAAACTCAGCTTCATTGTTATCTGTTTTTCTGCTTAAAATTAAAAACTAAGTTAAAAAGAAATGGAAAAAATAAAAAAATTAAAAACAATGGTACAGAATTTCCGGTTTTCTAGTTCTTATAGTTTTAAATGTTTCTTAATTTCTAACACTTGAATACTATGAATTTCAAGTATTTTATTAGCTGAATTCTATTAATTTGTTGTACTGTTTACATTTTCATTGACTACAAAATACTTTTTAAAATTTCCATTTGTTGTTTTTCTTCAATCCATGGACTATTTATGTGTTACCATTATTTTAAAAATGGTTGTATTCTCATACTGTAATTACATATACTGTTTCTTTCTTCCTTGTGCTTATATGATTTTATTATTATTCTTTTTGTATTTGTGTAACTTTCCAGTTGTGTACATTAAGCACACATCACCCTTCTAAGTAGCAGCTCGTACAGACTAACACTTTACATGGTATAGGACATTATAGTTTAAAAAAGGTTCCACTTAGTCCTCAGGCATTTATGAGAAACCTAATCCATATTTCACAAATGCTGCAAACTGAAATTAGTAGTCTAAGTGAGTTGTTCTGTACAACTACAGCTAGGAAGGACTCAAATGCAGATTTTCTGTCTAAAAGTTTATTTTTCCAAACAAGTTAGAAGCAAAGACCTAAAAAGTAAATTTGAATTCATCTTATAGATAATGGGAAAGAGTCATAGAAGGTTTTCAAAGCAGTAAGTTTCATATTTTCCTCAGTGCAGTTTTAATTTGATTACTAGTGAGGCTAAACATCCTTTAACATCTATTTCTTGTTTCTTTTTCTTCTTCTGTGAATTGCCAGTTCATATTCTTTGATAATTTTACTATTGGATGTGTTGGTCTTTTGCTTATTGATTTGAATGATGAAAAACATTTCAATACCAATACCTTGCATATTATTTATTAGTTGAAAATAGATTCTCTCAGTTTCATGCTTATCTTTTCTGTTTTTTTTTCATTTCAATGATCAGATAAATTTACATAAGAATGAGAAAAGTGAATGTATTTGCTATGAGACGAATATGGTTTATTTTGACCTTGTAGGATGGGAAGCAGGAGATAGAAGAGAATAGGGTTAAAAGATAAACCATTTGACTTGGAAATTCAATTTATCAATCAGTTATCATTTGCTTATATTTATTAGATATAGTGTGCTCAGACATATGCTGGATATACAGTAAAGAAAAAAATGCTACCTATTTTTGAGGAACCTGACTATGAAGACATGTAAAATAAGACAAGTAACATGGTATATGCTCAACTGTAACATGGAACAAGATGAGCTGCTGGCTCCCGAAATTTCCATTTTAAGAAAGGGAAATTTGTGGTTTGAATTAATTTGGAGTTGTTCATGGGAGAGAAATTCTGTAAGTTGAATAGGGGCAAGGACTGTGTGTAGAAATTTTTGTTCAGTTTATCTTTAGCAATTAGCATAGTGCTTGACTAACAGGAAGTTCTCAAGTATTTGTTCAGGGATTGAATGATGTTAACATCTGCAGGCAAAGCCATTTATAGAGTTGTAAAACAAATTCTGTAATCCGTTGCTCCTATACCACTGCTAAGCAGCTCTGAGAATGTTGCCATACATCCACATTTTAGGCATTAGTTTGCATTTCCAAAGAAAAGGAACATAATCATTAAAGACAAGATTCATTATATGCTCCCTCATCTTACTACTTAGCAGACTAATAAAGAGTTGCCCTTAACCATCAGATAAGCCTGGATTTCATTCTCTTCTCTGCTAATTGTGGTTATGTGACTTGATTTCCTTCCTCTGTGGGGTAAGTCAATAGTCGTACCTACCTAATGGCTCTTTGTAGGGATTGAGTAAGCAGAACATGCAAAACACCAGGCCAGTAGTAAGGATTCTATAAGCATTCTATATCCCTTTTCTCTTGGTGTACATACACTAAAATGGGTGGAATCTGTGACTGCCTTTGAATTTTTGAGACGTGGTTCATGATTTCTAACAGACATATTCTCCATTTTTCCCCTCACAGATTCAGAGACATACTGTATGTTTCAAGACAAGAAGTACAGAGTGGGTGAGAGATGGCATCCTTACCTGGAACCTTATGGGTTGGTTTACTGTGTGAATTGCATCTGCTCGGAGGTACAGTCCCTCATGGCATGCAATATCCCAGTTTGTTCCTTAGCGTGCCAAGAGACTTTTAATGCCTAGGTACCCAGAGAACATGGATGAAAAAGGCCCAAAAGAAATTAAGAAGCAGGTTGTAAAGAAAAAGAAACATCTCCTCTCTTTTTCCCTCTGCTGCTCTTTGGCTCAATTTTTATGGGATCTCTGAGTATTCGTTATGGACTGATACCTGTGGTGTTTTAGGCTAGTCATATAGGACATGGTGGGAAGGGCAGAAGAGCTCAATATTCTGAAGAAGCTCAATATAATGCTTAGAATATAAGACAAAATAGTTTTTGGAAACCACTTCCAAGCTTGCCCTTTAGAGAGATTAAGTCACATTATAACTGGTTCATTGAGATAGTGTATTTTATGTTGTCTCAGCCAATAACTTTAATTAAGAGTAGAGTTCACAAAACTTGGCCCATATCTTGTAAGGATTAGAGTTCTCTTAGCTTGCCCTTGGCTTTTGTCCAGTAACTCACAAAGTAGCTCAACTGCCATCTTTGCAGTAGACAAAACAGGTAAGTTCCATATTCTTTCCATGGTTTTGACCCAAGATCACAGCTATGGTCTTTCTTTTTGAATAAGCTTCTATTATCATATTAGGCCAGGGTTTCTCAACTTTCACACTATTGACCTTTGGCGATAGATAATATTTTGTGATGGGAGCTGTCCTATACATTGTAGAGTGTTTAGCAGCACCTTTGTCTTCTATCCACAAGGTCATAGTGCCACTAACCATGGTTGAGACAGCCAAAAGTGTTCCCAGATATGGCTAAGTTTCCTCAGGGTCGTAATCACTGCTGCAAAATGCAACACCAAGAACTGCTGCATTAAGCCAATTGGGAAGGGAAGCCTTTTACTAAGCCGTGAGAATTGAGAGTTCTGAACATATAAAAAGAATTTCTTAGACTAACTCTTAACTGTGTCCTTGTGTAAGGATTGCAATGCCTCCTTCATGCCCAGGCAGATCAGGACCAGACACTTACAAGCTTGATCCTTTTGCCATTTGAATAGATTTTTGGGCTTTCAGAATTTTGAGCACGTGAAAATGTAACCTTCAGGTAATATCGAGAGGTATTAAGTGCCTAGAAGGTTCCAAAATGAAGACAGACCAAGCTTCTGAGCTTGGCTCTGTCACCTATGAGCCATGTTTTGTTAAACAGGTTACCTAACTCCTCTTGGATTCCTTCAGCTCCCTTTCTTTAAAATAAGATAATGATATTATCATTTCATAAGGTTGTGGTTAGAATTAAATTCACTAATCCATTTAAATCACTTAAAACACTGTTTGGTCATGGTAAATTTTCAAGATATGTTAGCTACTATTATCATCACTGTCATCGTCATTATCATTGCGATTTTCATGATTATTAGTAGTCTCTTAACTCTAGAACACAATTTAGTATACAGCACTAGGGGTTCCGTTTACAGCTCAGCCTGGAGATGTGTTTTCTGATGTGCTTCGGTGATCTCTCCTCTAAATGCTACTACTTGGTTCATAGGAGGGTGATACATAAGGATCCTCTGTGCAGTATTCCAAGAATTTATTGTAGAAAACGTACAAGAAAAGAGAAAAGGGCCCTGGAAAGGTGACTCTGATTGGGATAAAAGAGGACTGTCCCTTTAAGTGGTGAGGGCATGTATTCAATAGAGCATCTAGGGACTGATTAACTTCCTGGTATGGCATGATTTTGTCAGATTCTTGACCCAACACATTGGAGATGGATAGCTCACCCTTGGGGCTGAGGCTTTGATGTGCGCAGGGCAGTGAAAATGTTAATATGATCCTAATGAGAACAGCTCACACACTAGGCATCTTTCCTGTCTCCATCCTCTTCACCACCCTGTCCCCTGACAATGGCCTGACAAGTGTAAGTAGCCCTCGCCTCAAATGAATTATGAATGGGAAAATGCAAATATAAAATGTATTTTAAAAGTCTTCCATTGTTCGAACAATGGCCAAGAGCTGTCAGAGCTAGGAATCATGTAATTTTAAATCAGGCAGAGACTCAATTGCCCCACCCAAGCATACTACCTAATGAGCTCAATTCCTAACTCTAGCATTTTTTAGAAAAATTTTGGCTGAAAAGAGACATGAGGAGAGGAGCTAGTCTACTGGGCTATGGTAGTTATATAGACTGTTAGGGAGATACCTTTACCCAGTTTTGGGTAGTAGTTCAAGGGACCCATTATCCTTTCCCTTCCATGGCACTGGGCAGGTGATTATGAAATCAGACTAGGCTCATGGAAATGACATGCTGCTGGAACTAGGGAAGGGAAGAAATGTCACAGAGCCAGGCCAGAAGAAGCCTCCCACAGTTAAATGGGAGCATTTAAAACTGGAGAAACAGTGATCCCAGCCTTAGAAAAATATGCTAGTGAGCCATCAAGGAATTGAGCAGAGGTGCTAATGATGAGAAAAGGAAAGAAAATGCTGATTGCATTCAACTTCTTGGGAATGCGTTATTCACTGTCTGGGTGAGTCCCTGCAAGTCTCTTTTCCAAAATGGCATGATCCCAGTGACCTTTGAAAGACATTTATTTTTTTTTTCTTGGTGCTTTCTCTCTTTTAGAATGGGAATGTGCTTTGCAGCAGAGTCAGATGTCCAAATCTTCATTGCCTCTCTCCCGTACATGTTCCTCATCTGTGCTGCCCTCGCTGCCCAGGTAAACCAGTTTGTGTCTTTCTTTCCTGGCTCTGTTTCTTCTGTCTCCCCTTTCTGTTCACCCAGTCCATTTCTCTCAATTCCCCGGAGTGGAACCTTCCAGACAGAAGTAACAATAGGACACTTTTAGGCAACTCAAACTGGGCCCTAGCTACTAGGCTCTAATAACTTACTGGGTACCCGCTAACAAATTTTCATTGGACTTCTAATCAATTGAAGGGGCGTATTAATTGCGGCAAGGGAATCATACAGATATTTTCTGCTATAAACAGTCTCTTCCTACCGTAGGCAGTGAGCGCCAGGGGAATTGTAGCATTGTGGCACGTGTCCTATGCAATTAGTGCTAGAATTGCATCCAAGCATAGCTTCAGAATGATGAGGGGTTGTTCCTAAATCAAAGGAGCTGAGAAAGTGAGGTTTATGACAGTATAAAGGTGCATGCCTGCTGAACAGTCCTCTCCTCCAGACTGCACAGTTACTGTGTGCACATTGTTAAAGAGCACCTCTGGGGGGAGGCAGGCAGAGACTTTTTCACAGGGCTGTTAGATCTACTTTCACAATTTGTGGTTAGGCTATTTTTCTGAAGCAGAGACTCACTCAGTGACACTTTGTTCGAATCTGAGTGCAGTCTAGTTCCCACAGCAAAGGCACAGAATGTGGAATGATTCAGAAAATACCTGTGGGCTCAAAGGCGGACCTAGGAAAGCTATGGGGGCAGTCTTCGGATCTGCCAAGTAGAAGGCTTGTCATCTTGGAAGTCAATTCTATTTCCCTCTGCGACAGAAATTCTTAAGTTATGGTGCCTAAGTGAACTTTAGGACATCAAAGAACCCTTTAAAATTGATTTCACTTTTTGGTGTAACTATATATAGATACAAATTCTTTCAGTGGGTCCATAGGTTTATTGCTATTCCTTATTTGACATTTCTGTTGACTTTCCCTCAAAAAGTATACTTTACTACATCAGTATATACATACTACTGAACAGAGGCTATTCTTTCTTAGGTAGCAAAAGATGATACCATATCATGGGTTTATCATTCTCAGTACTGATGATGATACAGTGTATGTCTTAAGATGTGAAAAATTGCCTTGATATATGACCAATCGAAAATTGTTGTATGGAGTAAAATCCTGAATGAGGTTTATCATTTTTGTATGTGTTTACTTGTTTCTACTTAAATGGAATTCCAAGGACTTGGTGTAAGGAGAGCCTCTGGTAAACAGGAGAAATATTTCTGAAAAATTGCTACTCTACAGAGCTTTCCTTTTTAACTTGCCAGATAGCCTCTCAAATAGATTTATAAAAGCATTCTTTAAAAGATATCTTCAAAAGTGGTCTGATTTTGTAAGAATGTATCGAAAGCACTATGTAGATATTGTTCTTCCCTAGGAAGAAGATTGAGGCATGACCCTGACATACAGCATAGGGCAAGAGAGCAAAGAATGAAATATGGCTGTCACCTACGGCAGCTGCCTAGAAAGCAACTGGTATGAAGCAGGTTTTGAGGAAAGGAGAAATTATATGTTACTAATTCTTTTAAGAGAAAAAGAAACTGTTAAAATACTTGAGATCATAAGACCTAGAGGAGAGAAAATGGAAAGAAATAAGATAATTTTTAATGGAGTATAGGAATAAGGTTTCCCTTTTTTTCTTTGTTCTCTTGCAGTTCTCTTTGTGAGTTCAGTTTTCTTCTGGTTAATTATACAAGCTCTTTTTGTGGATAATGATACTAAAATTCTCATCCTGATATGCAAAACTGTCTTATTTTGCTTTTATTTCTGAATGATAATATAGCTGGGCATAAAATTGTAAGTGCAAGTTCATTTTTCTTTTTTCTAATTTTAAAGTGAAAAAAATAAAAACAGTGATACAGAATTTCAAAACAAGAGGGGCTGGGGATTTAGCTCAGGGGCAAAAGCGCCTGCCTGGCAAGCGCAAGGTCGTGAGTTCGGTTCCCGGTACCAGAGAAAAACAAAAAAAAACAAAAACAAAAACAAAAACAAATAAAACAAGAATTTCAAAACAAGATACTAAATAGGAAATTAACAATGGTCATTATATTGCATATTGTTATCTTTAAACTAGTTACTCAGATTACCAGATACAGGCATGCAAAATTGATCAGGCAATATGAGCACAAACCATTCCTTTCAATGAACTAATAGAAATTAGTAGTAGTATTATCTTATTAGTAGTGTAATTATCTTCATTTTTCAGAACACTTTGAAAATATTACTAAATGGTTTGTTGACTTTTCTTTGTGGATAAATGTCAACTCTTCAATTATTCTTTTCTTGTAGGTCCTTTTGTTTTCCCTCCTAGCTTTTAAGGTTTTCTATTTGTCTTTGACACATACGAAGACATGTATAAATATGTGGTTTGTGCCTTTAGCTTTCTAGCATATTTTTTTTTTTCAGCCAAAGCACTTCAATTTCTCTTCAATTTTAGGCATTATTTTTCTTCTCATTTTCAAAGTTGTCTTTCATATAGGTTTCACTTCAGGTATCTTCTATGTCCCTTTTATTTTTTCACATCTTGACATGATCTATATCATACAATTTGCAGATTATTTTCATGCACACTAATTAGGCCATCTGTTGGATTGTTTGTTTCTCTTATCTTACTTAACTATATGTTCCTCCACATTCTGAAATCATTTTAAAAAATATCTACACGTTGCTGTTTTGTAATCCCTTTTTATTATTTCTTGGGATCTTAATCTCTTTGTATTTCTTTAAAGAACAACATTTGAAATTTATTTAATGTGCACTTCAGATTTCTAAATTATTATATTTTTAGAGATAAATATTGACCCTTTGGGAGCTGCCTGACAGATTTTCTTAGTACTGTTAGTTTCTTTGATTTCTAGTTTTTGCTTTAGAATTTCATTATCCATAGAGATTTTTATCTTTCATGAGCTCTTCCTTCTTTATATAATGGTTGCTTCAGCCTTTGTGGCTTACTTAGCTGAAAAGCGGATCATGTATTTGCATCTCAGCTTGAATGCCTCATGCCTGGATGGTCTGTCTCTACCTCTCTGTTTCTTTGTGCAGTGTTAAGTCCCTGACTGGGACCTCAACTACAATCATGTACCTTGGACATTTTAGGGGACAATTTTGGGTAAGCAGAACTATGTCAGCTCCTTTTCATATCTGATCCTATTAACCAGATGTGTTAGTCAGCTTTCTCTTGCTGTGACAAAATGCCTGAGAAAATAAAAGTAAAGAAGGAGAAGTTTACTTTGGCTCAGTGGTTCAGAAGTTTCTTTTAGGGCATCCCCCCAATGACTTAACTTCCTTCCACTAGGCTTCACCTCCTAAAGTTTTCTACCACCTCTCAATAGAATCACAGGCTGGCAGCCAAATCCTCAATACATGATACATTTGGGGGACACTCTAGATCCAAGCTATCGCAACAGCAGCTTCACACAGGAAACACCTTACAGTCTGTAGTCCCTCCTTAGCTGTCTAGCACCAAATATCTGAATCAAGTTATAGCTACCAATGTAGCATACAGCTTCAACGCATATGTTCCCATACTTTTCTCCTGTGTTTTATTCCACAAAGAATTTCATCTTGTTTTTATGATCTTTTTTCCAGTTTTACATGTTAGTTTCTCTTTTTTGTTTGGAAAAGAACAGGTAGACTTTTTATGTCCACTCTTTACGATACTGAACCAGAAGGTGACCATCTATGCTTTCTTTCTACTGAAGATAAAACAAAAGCAAATAGGTTTAAACCATAGCAGAGAAGAATAAAGTTTTATGAAAGGAAGAACCTTGTGAAACATTTTTTGTTAAATCCTACAATAAATAAGTAGTATTTCATTTTGTTTACTGAATATTTCTAGAAATGAAATTTACCTACTCATCCAACATAGAATTGGCACAGTCTCACTTTGAGACAGGGCAATGCTTGTGATGACTCCTCTGTATTCCTTCCACCCCAGTAATTAAGCATGAAGAACCTCATGCCTTTAGGGCCACAGGAATGCTTGGTCAAAGGAAGGGGCTTTGGTTTTGTGTCCTAATCCAATAGAATGCACTGTGATGAGAATGTCCTCTTTTAAAAATAGAATATTCAATGCCAACATGATAAACAAACTCTACATCAAGAAGCGAAAACAAGTAAGGGGTAGATTTCAAGTAATAGTTTTATATACTCTTTTATAGCAGTATGATATAGGGGAACAATCACCTAAGTAGTGACAAACTTGCTGAGAGGGTCCTAGCTGATATATGTAGAGGTCTTCTCCCACTGGAAAACACAGAGGAGCCATCTCTTCCCATGTGTTTCTGTGTTTCCCATGGATCTTACTTCCTAAACTGCTTGTCCTTGAAGTTTTCAGTGATCTCACATGCATTTGGTGTTGTCTCCTGCTCAACCGTGGAAATCAGAGTATGCCAATTACTTTTCTAGAATTACCAGAGAGAAATGTATACTGATTCCCATGAACAGCAAGTGACTTTTTTCGTAAGCAGCATTGTTCAAGTTTTCATGGCAAAGGCCAAGACTTGGTCACAGATCACAAGGCTCTACTGGGCCCAAAGAAGCTGGTGCTCCATGGAATCTTGAATGCTACTAGTAGAAGTGAAAACTGGACAGTAGTTGTGACCGTCACTAAATCCCCTAGTCACTAAGTAGAACTTCATGTTGTCCCTGTAATTGGAAATTTGTAAGAATGAATGAAATTTTCTATCTTCCCTTTTAGGGGAATGAAATGGTAAAGAGAGGGAAAAAAGGTAATAAATAAATAAATAAATAAATAAATAAATAAAACACTTTTATACTGACCAGGAACCTAAAAATGTAAATCATGATATTATCTATGAGGTTGTTTTTATTGTCATTCCACTGAGAATTTGCTTTTCAGAATTAATAAATTTGGGTTCCCTTGGAGGCGTTCCAGCATTCCTGGGTTATTAAAGAGCTCTTATAAAATTGCCAAAATAACTGATTTGATTTGGTTACCAAAGACCTAATCCACAGTGTTTCCTT